GGGGAAGGGTCCTGTCAGAGATCAAACCCACAAGCCAGCCCCAGGGTTCCAGGTGAGCTGAGGAGCAGAGCTGGCGCACAGTCCTGTCCCCTTCCCTGCGTGCGCCGCAGGGACTCCACTGCACAGGGATGTCCAGGGCTCTTGGTCTCCGGGAGAATCAGAAGGAAGGCGCCTGCAAGAGAACCGGCGCGGTCACTACAGAGAGGACAGAGTTAGGGAGGCTAAGGACATTGCAAAGCAGCTACATGACTCCTTTGCATCCGCCTCCACCACGGCAGATGTTGGGAGATGCCTACCCCGGACCTGCTACCTATGGGGAGGTGCTGTCCGAGACCACGGGGCAAGAGGGTCGATGCTGGAACACACTGAGCAGCAGGTCACCAGGAGCAGAGCTACCTGCCAGAGTCCTGCAGGGAGGGAAGTGACTGAGCTGCTTGTCTCGGCCTAGATACCAGGGCAGGCTGCCCTAACAGGTCCCGTCCCCCCTGCACACAGCAGTGCTGCGTTAGCTAACCCGGTTAACATGGCACCATTAGTTACACTGGTTCAGCATTCTCGGTAGACCAGACCCAGTGACTCTTGAACCGGCTTGTGTGTGTCTCGGGCCTGCGCCAAGTACAGCAGCTCCTCCGTGTGCCTGGGAAGTAGCCATTTCCAGTGCCAAGAAATGGCGGCCCTGCCCTGGCGTGAGTGGTTGGTATGGGGAATTGATTCCATTTATTAGACTCAGCTGCCTTAATTGTCAACTCTGTGAACTCTTTCCCTGCGGATAATTGGTGGCAGAAACCCCCAGCTCCTGTGCGTCTCCGCTGAGGGTGAGCGTGAGACACTAGAGAGAGACGCTTTTATACCAAGGCTTGAGCAACCTGTAAAAGGTAGGTTGGCATAGCTCTGCTGGTCAGGGAGTGTGAAAGCCAGATCCCTGACCGACAGCTATCCCGACGGACGAGGGCATCCGTCGGCGTTGCTGACTTCGTTCAGGGAAGTGGTGTTACTGCTGTGCTGATGGAAACGCTTCTGTGGGTGTACGCAGTGTCCAGACTAGGGGTCGTGCTGGCACAGGCTCTGTGGTGTAGACAGAGCCTGGGGCCCCCTCAGTCCCTTGGCCGAGGCAGACCAGGAGTGTTCTGCAGGGCTGTATCCTAACTAGTGTTAAAGGGCCCTGGGCGCTACCTCGTGAGGCTGTCCCAGCCTTCTCCATCCCGCTAGTACTGCTCTGTTTGGCTCTGGGCCGTCCCGCAGAGCACTGGGCACACAGCAAGAGATGGGCTGTGCTGGGCCGAGCTCACAGACTAACAGACGGGGGGACAGGCCGAGAGAAAGGAAGCGACTTGGCCAAGGATCCCATGGGGGGTCAGTAGCAGGGTTGGGAGTGGAACCGGAATCCCCTGAGTTCCAGCCCAGTACCCTGCCCATTTGCCCATGCTGCCTCTTGTTCCAGCGTCTCCCTGCTCCTGTTGCACCAGAGGTCATAAAATCATAGAATATCAGGGTTAGAAGGGACCTCAGGAGGTCATCTAGTCCAACCCCCTGCTCAAAGCAGGACCAGTCCCCAACTAAATCTTCACACCCAGGGCTTTGTCAAGCCTGACCTTAAAAACTTCTAAGGAAGGAGATTCCACCACCTCCCTAGGTAACGCATTCCAGTGCTTCACCACCCTCCTAGTGAAAAAGTTTTTCCTAACATCCAACCTAAACCTCCCCCACTGCAACTTGAGACCATTACTCCTCGTTCTGTCATCTGCCACCACTGAGAACAGTCTAGATCCATCCTCTTTGGAACCCCCTTCCAGGTAGTTGAAAGCAGCTATCAAATCCCACCTCATTCTTCTCTTCCGCAGACTAAACAATCCCAGTTCCCTCAGCCTTTCCTCATAAGTCATGTGTCCCAGTCCCCTAATAATTTTTGTTGCCCTCTGCTGGATGCTTTCCAATTTTTCCACATCCTTCTTGTAGTGTGGGGCCCAAAACTGGACACAGTACTCCAGATGAGGCCTCACCAATGTCAAATAGAGGTGAATGATCATGTCCCTTGATCTGCTGGCAATGCCACTGCATATACAGCCCAAAATGCCATTGACCTTCTTGGCAACAAGGGCATACAGTTGACTCATATCCAGCTTCTCGTCCACTGTAACCCCTGGGTCCTTTTCTGCAGAACTGCTGCCAAGCCATTCGGTCCCTAGTTTGTAGCGGTGCATTGGATTCTTCCATCCTAAGTGCAGGACTCTGCACTTGTCCTTGTTGAACCTCATCAGATTTCTTTTGGCCCAATCCTCTAATTTGTCTAGGGCCCTCTGTATCCTATCCCTACCCTGCAGCGTACCTACCTCTCCTCCCAGCTAAGTGTCATCTGCAAACTTGCTGAGGGTGCAATCCACACCATCCTCCAGACCATTTATGAAGATATTGAACAAAACCGGCCCGAGGACCCACCCTTGGGGCACTCCTCTTGATACCGGCTGCCAACTAGACATGGAGCCATTGATCACTACCCGTTGAGCCCGACAATCTAGCCAGCTTTCTCTCCACCTTATAGTCCATTCATCCAACCCATACTTCTTTAACTTGCTGGCAAGAATACTGTTGGAGACTGTGTCAAAAGCTTTGCTAAAGTCAAGGAACAACACGTCCACTGCTTTCCCCTCATCCACAGAGCCAGTTATCTCGTCATTGAAGGCAATTAGATTAGTCAGGCATGACTTGCCCTTGGTGAATCCATGCTGACTGTTCCTGATCACTTTCCTCTCCTCTAAGTGCTTCAGAATTGATTCCTTGAGGACCTGCTCCATGATTTTTCCAGGGAGTGACGTGAGGCTGGCTGGCCTGTAGTTCCCAGGATCCTCCTCCTTCCCTTTTTTAAAGATGGGCACTACATTAGCCTTTTTTCCGTCGTCCGGGACTTCCCCCGATCGCCACGAGTTTTCAAAGAAAATGGCCAATGGCTCTGCAATCACACCTGCCAACTCCTTTAGCACTCTAGGGTGCAGCGCATCCGGCCCCATGGACTTGTGCTCGTCCAGCTTTTCTAAATAGTCCCAAACCCCTTCTTTCTCCACAGAGGGCTGGTCACCTCCTCCCCATGTTGTGCTGCCCAGTGCAGCAGTCTGGGAGCTGACCTTGTTTGTGAAGACAGAGGCAAAAAAAGCATTGAGTACATTAGCTTTTTCCACATCCTCTGTCACTGGGTTGCCTCCCTCATTCAGTAAGGGGCCCACACTTTCCTTGACTTCCTTCTTGTTGCTAACATACCTGAAGAAACCCTTCTTGTTACTCTTAACATCTCTTGCTAGCTGCAACTCCAGTGTGTGTGATTTGGCCTTCCTGATTACACCTCTGCATGCTCGAGCAATATTGCTATACTCCTCCCTGGTCATCCCACCAAGTTTCCACTTCTTGTAGGCTTCTTTTTTGCGTTTAAGATCAGCAAGGATTTCACTGTTAACCCAAGCTGGTCGCCTGCCATATTTACTATTCTTTCTACACATCCCGATGGTTTGTCACTGTAACCTCAATAAGGATTCTTTAAAATACAGCCAGCTCTCCTGGACTCCTTTCCCCCTCATGTTATTCTCCCCGGGGATCCTGCCCATCAGTTCCCTGAGGGAGTCAAAGTCTGCTTTTCCGAAGTCCAGGGTCCGTATTCAGGCCAAAGCGGGGGTCAGAGCCTGCAGAGAGGGAGGCTATCGGGGGGCCTTGGGCCGGGGCTCTGAGCAGAGGCCCAGCACTTGGCCTCGGGGGAGGCAGAAGCATATTTCAGAGAGGGTTAACAACGGAGCGAGGCGCCCGCACCTCGCTGCCTTCCCCGGAGTCTGCATTTTTATGCTGATTGGAAGCCTGTGCTGTGTGCGCTGCTGAAATTGAATGTCAGGCTTTTGATTTTGTTGCTGGTCTCTAATGAAATTTGACATTTAATGGTGAGTGCAGCGGCAGCGTGTGTGTGTGTGAGCGGAGCTTGATTAGCGCGCTCTAATTGACAGTAATTAGGCAGCTCCCTGATTGTTTCTAATTCTGCTATTAATTGTAAGGAACAGTATGATTGAGGATAAATTTGGTGCTTTGCTACCGGGGATACGGCTTCTGCAGCTCCGTATCGGCAGCCTCTGAAGCCTATCCTGCTCGGGCTCCTGAGAGGGGCAGCCCAGTCATCGCCTCTGGAGGAGGAGTCCTGTGCTGGGCCTGGGGATGGCTGCCAGCCGCAGCAGAGCACCTGAGTAGGGCCTAGGTGGGGACTCCCAGCAGGTGTGCGCTCCCCAGCCACCACACCTCCCTCTGGGGACAGGGCCCAACTCGTGGAGCAGGGTGGGGCATCCCACGGCCTGCCTGGGCAGTGGGGGGCAGCTGGGACATCTCTGATGGGTGGGGGCAGACGGGGGTGTTCAGGGCGTCTCAGTGGAAGGGAGTCAGGCGGGGATGTTCTGGGCATCTCTCAGGGGCAGGATAGGGTATCTGGGGCTGTCTCTGGTGGATGGGAGCAGACGGGGATATTTGAGGTGTCTCTGTGGGACAGGGTGGGGTGTCTGGGGCATCTCTGTGGGACAAGAGCGGGCGGGGATGTTTGGGATGTCTCTGTGGGACAGGGTGAGGCATCTGGGGCTGTCTCTGTGGGGCAGAGTGGGGCAACTGGGGCATCTCTGTGGGACAGGAGCAGGCAGAGATGTTCAAGGCATCTCTGTGTGGCAGTGTGGGGTGACCAAGGCTGTCTCGGGGACAGGAGTGGGCAGGGATGTTCGGGGCATCTCTGTGGGACAGGAGCAGGCAGGGATGTTCGGGGCATCTCTGTGGGACAGGAGCAGGCGGGGATGTTTGGGGCATCTCTGTGGGACAGGAGCAGGCGGGGATGTTCAGGGCGTCTCTGTGGGGCAGGGTGGGGTGTCTTGGGCTGTCTCTGTGGGACAGGGTGGAGAGTCTTGGGCTGCCTCTGTGGGAGGGAGTCAGGCGGGTCTGAGCATGGTGGTGCTGAGGTCTCTAAATGTCGCCGTTTCTCTTTCTCTCCAAAGCTAACGGCACCTCAGATGCTCTCAGTTCCAGCCCAAATATGTCCAACACTGCGAGCCCGAAGCTGGAGCCGCCTCCATCCCCTCATGCAAACAGGAAGAAACACCGCAGGAAAAAGAGCACAGGGACAGCCCGCCCTGATGGCCCCAGCACAGCAGCAGAAGGTAGGAAGTGTCTGTCATTCTGCTGGGGCAGCCGCAAGCAGCCAGTTGTACCTGGGGGAGCCCCGGTCCCCTACGGTACATTGGTGGCACAAATCCTGAGCTCTCCACCCTTTGATGGAAATGAACTTCCAGCCCAGCTTGTCTGCCCTCACTTTCTCCCCTGCAGCGGGGAGCAGGGACCATGCTCCCGTGCCAGCTGCTGCTCTGGGTATGTATTTGTTTGTTTCTGACACCAGCGGTGGACCTGGGAGGGCCCATAGGAGAGGCTGCCAGACACCTGCCAGTGTAAGATCCTATTTTCATTTGCTTATAAATGTGCTCAGCTGTAGCGATTGGAACTTCTCGTCCTGAGTGCGAGCTCCCTCCTTCCCCTGCCGTTGCTGGGGCCCCCGTCTCTCCCGTGCTCGGCGGTGGCATGCAGGAGGTAGTCTCTTGGGGGGTGCCGTTCTTTGACCTGTTGCTGGCGTGGTGGGCGGGTGCTGGGTCGTGCTTGGTGGCCTGCAATGTACAGGAGAGGGTCTGGTAGAGCCTTCTGGCCTTAACTCTGGGACTCTGTCTGGCTGCCTTGGGCCAAGCTTCTGAGAAAGGTTCAGGAACATGAGAGTTAAAAAGCTCTGACATCCATTGTGCTGAGAAGCTCCAGCATCTCCAGGCTTTGGAGTCGGCCTTGACATTTGCCAGGGGAAATTCTGGCCCCAGGGCTTGCCCTGGGGCCAGAAAGGAGCCTTTTGCTGTCCTAGTGAAAATCTGCCCCGACTGCTAAGTTCTCTGTCATCTCCATGTGTAGCAACCAGGCCTGAGCAGGCTGAGGAATGTAGGGATGGCCGGACTAGATCAGACCTGAGGTCCAGCTAGCCCAGTGCCCGGTGGCAGTGGCAGGATCAGGTATAAGCGTCCCACGGTAGTAGATGGGGATAAGTTTTCCCCCATGCGAGCTCTCAGCCTGATCTCTCATAGTTACAGGAATCTCTGAGCTTTGAAGCATGAGCTGTAATACCCCTTTCAAAATCGTTAACGTTCGTTATGACAACTCTGGAAATTCTGGATATCCATATAAACATCCAGTACCTCTTTGAATCTGGCTAGGTTCTTGGCCTCAACAGCTGCCTGGGACAGGGAGTTCCACAGTCTGAGAGCATTGTGTGGAAAAGTATTTCCCCAGTTTTGAACTTCTCACGTAATTGCATGGAGTGTCCCCTTGTTCCTGTGCTAGGAGACAGGGCGAAGAGAAGTTCCCGATCTCCCTTGTCTAGACCAGTTTTTATTTTATAGACCTTTATCATGTTCCTCTTTCTCATCTCCTCTGTACCGTAACAATCCCAGGTATTTCAATCTCTCTTCATAGTTGATTGAGGGCCTGGAAAAACTCGATCTCCTCTCCCTTCTCTGAGCCCCCGGTAGTTCTGCAAACCCTTTCTGAGATGGGGTGAGTGCTGGTGTGGCACATGGGATGCGGATGCTGCTGCACCATTGATTTACGTCAATCTAACCATCTAATCTAACCCTAACCCCTCTTCTTATGCGTCCGAACTTCTTGGTAACTTGTCTGATCACAGCAGAGGCCTCCACTCCACTGAGCTGTCTACAGTGAGGCCAGGTCCCATTCCTGGGTTGAGAGTTAATTCAGAACTCGTCAGGTGTACAAGTAGTTACAATGTTCCCCTCCAATGTGCATTTCTCCGCATTTCTCGGCATTAAAGTTCATTTGCCAGTGAAGTGTCAGGTGCCAAACTTCATTTGTCACTGCCCCTCCCGGCTACCAGAGGCCACTGTGGTGCCAGATGCTGGCACTGAGTGTAGCGGGACTCCTGTCCTGTGTGCTCAGTCCTCATCCTGCTGGTGCCCAGGCTGCAGGCACCTGGAGGAGGGGGAGCAGCTGCCTGCTGCTGCAGTGCAGGGGCTGGGACACCAAGGGCAGGGTAAGGCTGTGGGAGCAGGAGCATAGGGGGATGGGCTGGCCAGGGAGGGACATGCTGGGGGAGACAGGACAGAAAGGTCTGTAACCAACTAGCCACACTCCCATCACCAGCCAGGAGTTGAACCCAGGATTTCTGAGTCTCCCAGCATTCCTCTGTTGTCAACAATAGCTGCAAAACTCGCTGGCATGCGTCTAATCCTCCTCCAGCGCCATTCCCATGGAGGATAACAGCTTTCTACTGCTGCCAGTTACCCAGTTTAGTGCAGTGGCAGAGGTCTGTGCTGTGGATCTAAAGGTCTCAACCCTATCGTGACCCGTGAGGGGTCAGTATTGTTCCACGTGGTGGAATTTTTGTTTTCTCTGTGTGCTTTTTTTAAAACTTACTTTACTAATGTAATTTCCTATGTTAAAAAGAGGATAAGGATGTGAAGCAAAGCACTGAAAAGTTGGGTTAATTCTATTAGTCTCTCTGGATCTCACCCCTTGGCTGGGGAAGACAGGGCCATTAATTAGGGCTCAGGGAGGGCCCTGAGCTGCAGTGCTCTCTGTGTAGGACAAAGCCTTTTCCCGCCCCAGGCTGTTTGTGCGGTTGGGGCTGCTCCTAAGGAGAAGCACTGTTTGCTCCCAGGGCTGCAATGCAGTCCAGCTGTAACCAGCCAGGAGGCCTGTAGCTGAGGGTTGTAGGCCCTGTTCTGCTCAGTCTGAGGCAGCTTCTGTAGCATGGCTGGGAAATGTCTCAGTCACACGGAAGCCTCCTGAGCCAAGTCGTGTGTTCCTTCTGGGAGAGCCCAGCTCAGCCCTCCCATGCTCAGAGGTCCTCGGGAGAATGGAAGTTACTCCCCTGCACGCCTCCAGGCCCCCTTCCGCACTACTGAGTGCTGGACTCGGCACTGTGTGCGGCGGCCCCAGCCAGTGAGCTCACAGCCGGACAGTCACACGCAGGATGGGCCACGCTGGGAATCCGGGCAGTGGGGGTAATTTGGCATTTGATGTCTCCGAGGCATTGCATAGGCACTGTCTAGTCCCGTGGCCAGCACCTGGTGCTGCAGCAATAGGTGGAAGAACACCCAGTTGCCCCCCACGTTAGGTCCCTCCTCCTCTCTCGTAGTCAGAGGTCAATGTAAGCCCTGATGCAGGTGCTGTCATAGCCTCCCAGAATTGCTGCTGTTTGCCAACGCTGGCTCTCCACCTCAGTGGCCAGGCCCAGTGACCACGGGGAAGTTTTTCCACTGGGGAAGACGAATGCTTCAGCTCAACACGGGGGAAGTGAGAGAGCCCCTGGGTGCGGGGGCTGGGCCTTCAGGGACAGAGATGCCTTGCTCAGCAAGGAGCCAGTGTCCTGTCCTGGAGCCATGCTGCCAGAGGGACTGAGGCTGGCTCTCGCCCGCGCTGAAGAGCAGGGAGGGCTTGCCAGGAGTTGAGAGGGGAGCGTCCCCCCAAAGCTGTGTTTTGCCAGCTCTGTGGGGTTGCACATTCCAGCTCTGTGTTCTCCAAGGCAGCCTGGATCAGCAGCAGCAGCCCAGACCGCATTAGTACCTGCCCGCACGGGTGCTGCTTGTTGTCAGACAGGCCCAGGCATGAGGCTTCCGACAGGTCTGCCCGGCTGCCGCCATGGTTTGCAGGGCAAAGCAGGGCGCTCAGTGTGCCCACAGCTGTGCCTGCAGCAAGTCACTTACGTCAGGGGAAATAATGTTCCTATGTAGATGGTTGGAGTCCACTTCCCAGAACTGAGACAACCCTCTCCCTCCTGGGCAGTGGCAGACGTCCATGACTGCTGTCCTAATGTCAGGGCTGCTACCCCATCCTGCCCCTCTCCCTGCCCGGCAGCGTGTGCACATGCTCTGCATCCCGCTCTCCCTGGCGCGGCCCCTGCCCTGCATGCTGGCCCCATGTGCTGATGCCAGTTTCTCAGGTTAGCATCCTGGGAAAGTTGGGGAGGTCTGGGATAAATTGCCATCAGTTTATCTCATTTAGGAGGTAATCAGAGCTGGGGACGTGCGGAGCAATTGAATCTTAGTTGTTCTGAAGTATCATAAATCAAACGAGCTGTTGCTTTTTTACATGGTCGCATGTTAAAGAGAGCGGCGTGTCAAGCTGCTAGGGAGCATCAACAAACTATGGCAAGGGTGCCATCGGGCTGCTAGGGTACGGCACCAAACGAGCGAGTGCAGCAGGAGCATCGGGAAGCCGGGGCGCTCCGGGCTTGCCGCACACCTGCCATGCTGGCCAGGGAGAGAGCATCCCCAGACTGGGGAGAGCAGTGTCGGGCTGCGAGGGGTCAACACTGAACTCCGTGGGATGAAGCAAGCCAGGAACTGCCAGCTCAGAGCCCTGCCCAGCAGCCCCAGCCTGTCGCCCTAGGCTCCTCCAGGCCTTTGGCTTGGCTCTCAGCAGCCAGGAGGAGCCCTGACGAGCATGCGAGGGATGTGCTGGCAGCAGACGCCTTTGCGACACTCCCTAGCCCAGCATCCCCATGGCTGCCAGAGCTCCAGGGATAATGAACTTCTCATGTGCTTAAAGAGTGATGCAGGGTGCATGGCGAGAAGCTGACAGCCCCTTAATGTGCTTCTCAGCGGCGGCAAAACGACGCGCTTTTGTCTTTGTTTTGTAGTTTGAAAACCCGGGGGAAATTGATGGCCAGTAAAGAGCTGTGGTGGGCGCCGGGCGTGATTAATGCGGACTGTCAGGGGCTGTCGGGAGCGCCCATCTCGCTGACTGGAAACACTTCTCTGAGCTGCATTTACCAGCTTGCCGGGGATTACGGCTGCTAGCGCTCAGCTCCTGCCTGCCCCACACAGACACCGTCACCCGCACGCTCCCCTTCCCCGGAGCCTCTTCGTTCGGCCCTAACGCGGCCCTCCCGTGCGCTCCTCCTCCCATGGCAGGCGGCCAGCCCCAGCCCCCGGGTGGCACTCCTGCTGGCCACCCCTCCGTCTGCCCCCTCAACCTCGTACGCACGCCTCGCCCCGCTCCCCCCCGTGTGCGCCTTGGGACAGCCCCCGTGCTCGGTACGTGACCCACCCCTGTGCCTCTTGGTACAACCCCCCTTCTCTGTATGTACCCCCCACCCACTGCTGTGCGC